AAAGCAACTATCTCTCTCTGCTCCATTGCATAGTGTTTTTTTTCTTTTACCTCTTTTTCCAGACCCCCACCACTGACTTCCTGATATTAATTTAAAGAACCAGTACATACATTCTCATAATTCTCTCTGAAGCTTCTTCCACAACCTAATTTCTGTTTCACTCATAATGTCCAAATGTGTAAGTTTCCATAATGCAATTCTTTCGTACATGATTTGATCAGGTGTCAATTAGTTACTCCATCCTGTTTTAACAATAAACAAATATGAATGCAAAAGCCACCCTTTCACATTTCCCATGTTGTCTACAAAGTTCTCTGAATTCTAGTTTTTACAACAGACAATTTTTGTCGCGTGATATTTTTTGTTATAATATTCTAGATCTGTGAATAAAACACTTCCCTTACTTCTGGTATTGTATTTTGCAGATTTGCAATTGCAGTGGCCGAATAAGGATATTTTTTAATACTGCTATTTTGTTTTTATTGTGATAACCTAGCAAAATGCAGTAGTTATATGTCTCAGTTGAGTGAGCTTAAATAAAATCAGAATCATTTTTTTTTCCATGTTCAAAAAATATCTAATATGGGTAGTAAAATCCTAAGATGAAGAGTTTGCTACCTACACTTCAGTTAGTGGCACCTTGACACTATTGGGACAATTCATGGAAATTGAATTGCTGTTAAGTGAGTAAAGGTATCAAAATCTGGCTCTTCAGACACAGCTGTCTGTACAAAGGGTCTCTCTCCACTCAGCAGTTGCAAGAAACACAGTTGTCAGTCCCTTTAATAATATCAACAATAAGGTGCCTTACAAGCCACTGTTCATTGTGATTAAGGACTTCTAAATTTGTTCCATAATTTGACTGTGGTACCTTGGTGTGCTTGCATCACCCTATTAGTTGTACCATTTGGTCTTGCTTCTTGTTTATTTTTGAGTTCCAATCTTTAATGTAAATCAGAGATACAGCTTTGTAAAAATGCCTCCAGTAGCCTCCATTTTTTAAAAACTTTACATTTGTGGGACCCATTCTATGACCACATGGCTTACTTTTGGCAGTGCTGAGAGCTGTGCTGGGAACCCAATCTAAGTAGCTCTGGGTGGGTGCAGAGGCAGGTGGGATGGGGGGGCTAGTGGGTGTATGGGAAGTTTGGCAGGATTAGGGTGGGGGTCTGGTGGGTTTGTGTGGGGGGAGATTGGTAGGTCCATGGGTAGGGTCAGAGACTACCCTAGCAGGGTGTGGGACCCAGGGCAAATCAGCCTGTGTGGGGCCAAGCCTGGGGTGGCAGCCCACCCCCACCGCTATCCCACGTGCCCTGGATATGAAGAAGCCAGTGGTGGTGGCTGGGCAGGGGAGAGGTGGTGAGCAGCTGGATGTGAAGCCAGCGGTGGAAGGGGTGGCAAGCAGCCAGATGTGAAGCACTAGGCAGGCCCTGCAGGAGGGGTCGTGGCTGCTCCGCCCAAGGTGGTCACCCCGATTCGACTCTCTCTCCCCCCTCCCCCCCGGATGGCCCTGGGAAGGGTTGTCTATCAGGGGGCTAAAAGTAGCCTGGTCAAAGTGTGGTGGGGGTAGGAAGAGGGCATCCCTGGGTCTGGGGTAAGTAGCTGGGCTTTCCCAGCCCCGGGGCTGTACTCTGAACATGTACAGACAATCAGTAGATCACATCAACCCGTTCCCAATCCTAGTTCACTTCCACAGATGAACTAAGGTAGATCAGGCTGGATATTTTTTTTCACCTGATCTAACCTCCTCAAATAATTGTAGAGATTGACATTTAGATCGACCTAACTATAGGTAGGTTGATCTAAATGTAATTTCTGCACATACCGTTAGACTCAATGTTTTTACATTTGTAAGTCCTTTTGACTGAAGGATTTATTTTCAAACATCAAAAAGGACTGCACAGTAACAGAAACTTACATTTTAAAACATGACAAGCTGGCCTTAAAGACTTAGGGCTTCTTTCCCT